TATTGTTGGGCAAGTTAAGTTGTTCTAAAGATGCATCAAGCTACAGTCTATGGTACTGACATGCCCTCCCCCCTTTGAATTAGAATCATCACTGATAACAGTTTTTATTTCTCTGTGCCTTTTATAAAAGCCGGGGGTTGTTTGGGAAGTAGTATATGACAAAAGCAACAAGCTGGAGGAGCGAGTGCTCGGGGGAAAATTGCTTGTACCCTCAGAAAAGAATATGATAAGGGGCCTCCCCGGTGGGGCAGCGGACGCGCTGTGAAGCTGTCCGCAGCATCTGCAGTGCCGGTTCCATTCCCTGCTGGCCAGGGAGATTCCCAGATGGTGGGGCAGACCTCTCCTGCCTCTCCCGCCGCTCCCCTCAGCAGTGTATTTCAGTCAGACTGCCTGTTCTGGTCCCCACTTTTTGTGTCTCTGGTGAATCCTCTCACCCTCTGCACCTCTGGCCTGTACCCCAGTTCTTGTATGCATAAATAAATAAATCTGTAAAAAAAACAACTCTCAACTTCTGTTTTCTTCCAGATGGCCCAAAGACTCAAAAATTAAATGAAACTGTATCTTTTGCCATCTTCAGTAACCACAGTGTGTCAGAGTCTAGTAACTCAGTTATCTGAGAGCAAATTGCTTTTCCTTTCCAGGCTTCCATGTCTTGCCAGGGCTGAGCTTTGAATGAAGACCTCCCAGGTTCAATGTCAGAGGAACACAACAGGCAGAGATGTTCTATTGGAAAAGAAAAAAGCAGCGACTGGGACAAGAAAACAAGTAGCACTTGAGAGATGAGGAAACCTAGGGTGAGATATTGGTGAAAGAGGAAGACCATGGAGGGTGGCCGTGGGGAACTTTATCTAGAAGATTCTACACGATTTCCAGAAAAGATTTTTGAATAAAAATAAATGAAATTATTTGAGACGTTTGGATGACATGCTCGTGTGTGTGTGTGTGTGCACGTGTGTGTGCATGTCTGTATGCATGTGATAACATATAAGTAGGAATGAGTCAGAAAAACAGCCTCTAATGTCCTTTTTGTAACTATGAGGAAACACATGAGTCCATTTGGCCTTTAGATTCAAAAATATAAATGGAATTTGGATCGAGATCCGAGGGCGGGTGTGAGAACTGGTGGGAATAGAGCAGATAACTTGTGTTTATGGGATCTGATATGAGTGGTTTAAGCTGTAAAAGCAAGATATGAGTCAGTCTCATTTTCTGTGATTCCTCAGTTGCCCCCAGAGGGAAGAGGCAATGACTGGGTACATCCAATCCAATAAATAAATAAACACAGACACATTTTGCAATGATTGCTTTCTGCCAATATTTAATACACCTCACAATTGGAGAAAATGGCTGTATTCGCTCCCCATCTCGCCCGCATTTGCTGTCTCCCCAGCTCCAAACCTTCATAATCTCAGCTTCACTAGTCAGCTGAGACCCTGCTCCCCACATTATAGAGAGACACTCGCTGGCCAGGTGACTTCCTGCTCCTGACTGCTGAGCAGAACCTCCATGGCTTTAGATAGGGACAGTTTGTTTTATTTAAATGTTGATGCCCTAGCAGATACGGCAGGACGGGTGGGGTGCTGAGAAGTGAGGGAGAGGAAACTTTTGAGCCAGTCCACAAAAAATTGAGGTGGAACGTAGTGACGCCCCTCCGCCGCCCCCCCACACACCCGCCCCACCATAGCTAAAATCTTTTAACTGGGACAGAAGAAGAGGTGATCCTTTGTAAACCACCCAAACACGTTTCCATAAATGTCGAGCGTTAGGACTAAAACAGGATCTTGGCTTCATTTTCCCTCTAAATGGCCGGGGAGATGCAAACATTCTCTCATTGGGTAGAGAGACGTGAAAGCTGGCACCCTGCCTGGTGTGAGGATTTTACGATTTTACGTTTTAGAGAAAGGGTTTAAGGAGGACCTCCTGCAAAAAGCTGTTGATCACAGAAATGTGTTTTTGCACGACATGCTTTCCCAGCTGAGCCCACCCTCTGTGCCAGGTCGTCCCTGCAGGGTCTTGGCTTTGACTGCCTGTCACTTTGGTTAGGACAATTTCTAGAGAACCTTACTTTGAAGCATTTCAAAGTAACTGCAAATGCAGGTGCTTCTCCTATTTATGGATCAGAAGGCATTTGAAATCCACCCTATAGCTCAGCGTGGGCATCGGAAAGAACAGGCATCTATAATAGGCTGCTTTTCTATATGCCAGAAACATTCTAAATACCTTAAAATATTAACTCATTTGCCCCTCACAATAAGCACCCCTTGAGGTCCATGCATTTATTATCCCCATTCTACAGATGAGAAAATTGGTAAGTCGTTTGCCCAAGGTCACATTAATCAGTGGTATTTCACTCCACATTGACCCTGGGCCCACACTTTTATTTTTTATTATTTTTTTAAAGATTTATTTATTTATGCATACAAGAGCTGGGGTGCAGGCCAGAGATGCAGGGGGTGAGAAGATTCACCAGGGACAGAGTGGGGAAAACAACAGGCAGATTGACCAAAGTACACTGCTGAGGGGAGCAGCGGGCGAGACAGGAGAGGTCTGCCTCACCATGTGGGTTTCTCCCTGGCTGGCCGGGGATTGAACTCTGTGCTGCAGAGGCTGCAGATTGCTTCATTGTGTGGTGCTTAACCCCTTGTGCCACCAGGGAGGCCCCGGGCCCACACTTCTAAACACAATATTATTTGAGAAAGAATATCTACTTTCAAAGATTGTTCTGAAGATTGAATGGAATAATCAATAAAGGTAAACTGTAACCTGATGTAGGAGAATGTCAAATATTTGAAGTTTTTCTGTAGGGTGCTTCCATTCCCCAAATCCCAATGCCAAGAACTTATAGTCTTTCTACCCTCCCTGCCTACCAGCCTCCTTCCCTTTCTGCTTCCTTCCAATCCTTTTTTAAATGTTCAAAAATGCCCATTTTGCTCATTGCACCAAAGAATATCTATATATCAGAAAAATTAGAAAGTAATGCTTTCCTTATTCTAGATTTTCACAGCAAAAAAAAATTTTATATTTACTGTCTTTGTGTCTCACTTCATGTGTAGGTGAAAATTTCGATAGTAGATGTTTAAGAAATATAAATGAATGCATGTTTAAGTAACAGACATCAGGGTGGGCCAAACTGAATTGTGAATAGATACCCTTGAATTTGGGAAACTAACCTTCTGTTATGGAGTAAATTCTGCCCAGCCATTAAAGGAATAACTGTGTGGAATGTTTTAACATTCAGTTTACCAAACACAGGAAAATCGACTTGTCAGTTATTCTAACAATGGCTCCTAGGTGATCGGTTTGTGTCATACAATGTTGAATTTTACTAGCGAAGCAAAGGTCTTTTTTGAATGCTGAGTAATATTCCATGGTGTTTATGGACCACATCTTCTTGATCCAGTCATCTATTTTTGGGCATTTGGGCTGTTTCCAAAGCTTAGCTATTGTAAACAGTGCTGCTATCAACATAGGGGTGCAGGTGTTCTTTGGAATTGATGTTTCTGTGTCCTTTGGGTAAATACCTAGGAGTGGAATTGCTGGATCATATGGAAGCTCTATGTTTAGTAGGTCCAGAAATCTCCACACAGCTCTCCATAGTGGTTGGACCAGTTTGCACTCCCACCAGTAGTGCAGGAGAGTTCCTTTTTCTCCACAACCTCGCCAACATTTGTTGTTGCTAGTTTTTTTAATATGTGCCATTCTCACTGGTGTAAGATGGTATCTCATGGTAGTTTTGATTTGCCCAATGCCCCATTTCTGAAGTTGAAAACCTACTATAACTTTTCACTATTATGTACCACAGCATCTAACATCTTCATTCACAGAGAATATTCTACATCTATAATTATTTAGTGAGAATAGATTCCCAGAAGTGGAAATCCCAGATCAAAGTATGTAAGTGAGCATTTTAAATTCTCCAAATTGTTATGTTCCCTTCCCCAACTACAATTTTAATTATATAGGTAATTAATACGGGGGGGGGTGTCTGTTTCACCTCATTCTTGCCATTATTTTGCTTCTTTGGTTTTATTTTTAAAGACATAGACAGCTAAAATGGCAGATGAGCAAAAATAGTATCTCATAATGTGTGTAAAGGTTGAACATTTTCTCCTATTTTATTTGTTAATTACATTCCCCTTTTGGGTGAGTTTTATCTTTCTGCTGCTGACTTCTCTATGGGTATCTTCATGGGTTTCTTATCAGTTTCTCATATGTTTTGACTTATTTTTCTCAGTCTGTGGTTATTATTATTCTGCAAAATTTTAACTGATATACTGTTATCTTCAAGGCTGATTTTCAAAACGTAAGCAAGTATAAACAAACCCCAAGCCATCAGATTGGGTACTGCCTGAGGAGTAGACCAGGATCTGTCTGTCCAGCTTTTCCTCTGTTAATTCTTTATCAATGCTGAGAATGGAAATCTTTCTCCCTCCAAAACAAGGGAATTAAACGGAAACCTTTTTACATTTTATTTATGTATGTTGCATTCTCTGACTAGACAGACATGTCTTTTGGTAGCGGAACAAGGGGGTTATTTTAAAAGTATTGTGTTGTTCATTGCTGGCTGATTGTCCCAAACTCATTTATTAAAAAATCCTGGCTTTTCTGGCAATTGATTTGTCATGAATTCCTTATCATATATTTGACCATGCTGTATAATAGGATCATTTTTCTGGGTTATTGTCCCTGATGCTATTTTTGTACTAATGTCCCGTTATTTAAATTTTTCACTTTATAAATTATGGTGTACTTCCCTTTTAAAATTTTCTTAAATATTCTGTCTTTTTCTTATAGGTGAACTTTAGAATCACGCTATCAAATTCAGATGGTTGGGCTTTTTATTAACATTGTGTCATGCCATACATTTAAGAAAAATTTAAACCTTTACAATACAGAACATCATCATGCGTTCTGTCTTTTCTTGTATGCAAAGCTCCTTTCACATCTCTCCTTGAAGTCTTTATGTAGGTCACAGTTTTCATGATATTTATTTATGATCTCTTTTTTTTTTTTTTTTTTTTTTTTCCAGGAGGCCAAGAAATATTTTATTGACAATGGGACATAGCCATGAGAGGGAAGCACACAGGACTGCAAACTAAAACCCAATTGCCAGGTAGGGCCTTTTGGGCCAGGAACAATGCATCCTGGGGTCCTCACAGTCTCCCACCAGTAGACACACAAGACTGGGCATCCAGGAGAGGGGTCAGTGGCTCTGGTGTCCCAGGCTGTGAGAGGATAGATGATGTCTCATTCTGACCGACAGGGTAAAGGAGGTAAAATGGAGGGAGGGTCCATCATTGCCTAAGACCACCTCCTCCTCTCAGAGCCAATACCAGGTGGAGGACTGAACCACCTAGGATCTTGTAATCAGCTGCTGTCTTCTCATCATTCATCTGTTTACCGCTGTAGATGAGCCGCTGCTGTTGTGGGGGGATTCCTTCTTTCTCCTCCACACGCTCCTTGATTCGCTCCACCTTGTCTGTGGGTTCAATGTCAATCTCAATCTCCTTTCCCGTCAGCGTCTTCACTTTAATAAGCATCTTCTTCCCAGTTTGGGGCTGCACACAGATAAATTCCTGCTTCTACCGCTGCGGTCGCCGCCGCCGCTTCCCAGCACTCTGCCTGCGGGAGTCAGTTCTGCTTCCGGGTCATGATCTGGCCCCACCCACCCTAGTCCGGCCTTCTTCCCACCGCGTTCCCGAAAGGCCCAGGAGTGCTCCACGTTTCGCTTCAATGGCGTCGTGAGTGAAAAGAAGGCGGTCAGCTTAGTTACGGCAGAGGTGACCCTCCCGCGAGTCTCAGAGTCCCTGGCGAGCCCGGGCTCGTGGAAAGGGGCTGAGCGAACTCTTAGGCCAAAGGTTATGATCTCTTTTTTGTTGCTGCTGTAAACAGCATTGTAAAAATTACTTGATACATTATTTTGGGCTACCTATATTTGTTTCTCTTGGACTCAAACTCCTAAATTTTATTAAATGTTGATATTCTCTACTGCTTTCCTTTGGATTCTCTAGATATATAAGTGCATGATCTATAAAGAATATTTTTTCTTTTTTTTAGTTTACCTTTGCTCTTTGCTTCCTTTGTGTTTGGCCAGAAGTTCTCAAACAATGTAAAATATAGTAAGAAGCGTGGATTTTTGGTTCTTGATTCTGATATTTTACCTGTAAGTCACTGCAACTGTTACTGTGAAATCTATTTTATTTTCAAAGTAAGCAGATTTTCTTATGTTCCTATTTGAATTTTTAAAATAGAAAAATGATCATAAACTTTAAAAGGTGCTTTTATGCCTTACACATCTATGGTATAATACTGCCTTTGATCTATTGTAATATATGATAATAATAACACTATTATTTGCAAACTATTATTGAATTCTTATCTCCCTGTATGGCACTGGTTCTGGTGGACTTTAAGAAGACTACATTTGCGATGCGCTTAATTTTGCACTTTGTTTATTATTAACAGTGGGTTTATCATTAATTACTGATACAACTGTGGCAACCATATACTTCCGTCATATAAAAGGAAGAATTTTATGACCCAGGTGGTTGGGCTGGACTATTCATTTATTTATTCATTCATCTGAGTACTCATTTATCCCTTTGATGTAAATTCACAAACATTTTCTAAGCAGCCTTCAGGCTAGGCAGGAGTGGAAGCTCCACATTCAGTCTCTGCTCCAGAAAGATGAGTCTCCCTCCTTGGTCTGCTGGCCCCTGACTCCATGGACCTGAGTAAGTTTCCTCCCCTTGAAAATCCTCATGTTTCCTCATTGATGACACAAGCCTACAAATGCACTTACTTGAGGGTGCAGCTGAAAACAAAGCTCTTAGCAGGTGTCTGCATGGGGAATCCTCGATACACCTTTGGATGATATTATTTTTATATCCTGGGGGGCCCAGATGAGTGGATCCAGTGAGCCCTATGGGCAGCAGATGTCACGTTGCTAATGAGGCTGCCCACTCCATACTGCCCAGGTTTCCACTATCCATGCCAGCAGATGACTGGACGTCTCTGCAATCGGATTCCATTTCCCTTCCTATGTCAAATCTGCCCATATGACCCCCGGTGTCCACTCTACTCGCTCTCCCTGTGTCACGTCTGCCAGTGAAGAACTAGACCTGTTTGAAGATTGTAGGAGAAATAATCCCCAGAGCGAAGTGTAGGGTAAGTGAAAATGCATCAGGCTTTTCCACCTTCCTGCCATTAGTGTTGATGATGGATCCCTGCGGTCCTGCATGCATGGCTGATGGCAGGCACCTGGAGTGGGGTGTGGGCATGCATAGGTGGGCACACCTGGACTGAGACTGGCTTACAAGGGAAGTGTCAAAGGGATGCCAGCAGAAAGTAGAAGGGAAAGAGAAAAAGGAGAAGAGAGCCGAGAGAACAAGAGAGCAGTCCCATTAGAGAAGCAGAGACCATGGGAATGCCAGAGAGCCCAGAGAGAGTGAGGATTCGCCAGGGGCTGTTAAAAGCTCAATAAAAGCCTGAAAAGCTACCGAGGGCTCCAGGACTACCCTTTAACAGTCTGCATAGGTTCATAGAGATCGTGTCCTGTGCCTTCCTGCTGGCACTACACCAAGCCACCTCGGCCAGGATAGCCTATGGTCCTGTGGTCGGGAAGCTGAAGTAAATAAACTCAGGGCAGCTTCTATTCAGCACTACCAGGCCGCTCCCTTGATTGGCTCCACCTGCCTTCTCGGGTTGAGTCTGCAACCTCAGCTGCCTGGAGACTCGGGACGCTCCATGGCTTCACTTTGTGCAGAGCTGTGCTGCTGGCCCTGTGCACAAGTTAGGTTTCAGGGCTGTGGCCTCGATGGCCTTTTAACAAGTGCCCTCTGCATTAAACATGCTCCCTCGGTCTCACTGGAGATAACGGCCTGTTATTTTCCTAGTGATTGGATGATTTATTTTATTTTGCAAAAATGACTTATTGTTCTGACCTCCTCACCTTTGGAGAAGCTTAGCTAAGTTGTCCTGTCACCATGCCCTCTGCTCCCACCCTTTACAATAAGCACATTTAAGAAGACCCTCCGCTACCACCCTGCCTCCCCCTGGGTAATTTAGATCTCTTGAGCTGCTGAATTGTGTCAGCCTGGGAAACAAGAGGTTGGTTATGCATATTGTGTCAGGAGAAAACATAACTCACTAAACCACCCCAGACACTGGGTGTCACCCAGCCATGCTTCAATTTACAACCTCCTGGAGCTCGTGTTGGCCAGCAGTGCCAAGTGGAAGCAGGGAGGATTTCAAAGGCCTGTGAAATGTTCTCCAGACCTGGGTGTCCTTCCAGCTTGCTCTGCTGCCTTCCTCGAAATATATGGGTTGTGCTATCTGCCCCCAAGGTTTCTAAGGCCAATTAGCAGGGTAGAAATGGTCAAGGCATATTGACCTGCAAAATCACAGTATTTACTGGTCCCAGGTTTCTTGTAATAATGATGCTTCGTACCAGTCCTCTCCATGGCTTTGTTCACATATATTTTGTATTCAGAAATTTGGAGCTGAACCATTTTTAATTTCTGCTTTAGGTGCTGGAAGTTGTGCCACTGGGGAAGGGGCCAGCTGGGAGTTGGCATCCCTTTGATCACAGGCTGAATGATTTGCTTTGATCAGAGATAACAGTTCAAAAAAGAGCCTGGTCTCTTCCTGAGATTTGCAGGTAAACAGAGAGATCATTTGAACCATTAAGGACAGAGCAATTCAGATCCCAGACAATGGTTCTTTGAACTGGATTTCAGGCCTGTGATTAACATAGCAAAAGGGATGGAAGGCTTAACAGAGGTGATTGCAGGCCCCGAGGAAGGTGCATCTAGAGGTCACCAGCTTGATCTCTGGGAAGACTTCCTACTTGGAGCCTTCCTAGAGCTCAGGCAAGTCATAAAAAGAACATGGCTGGGAACCTTGAAGGGGAAGAACTTGTCCAAAAGAAGGTGCTCGGAGCCTGGGGAGCTTTGCCGACTTTGAGTCAGGGAACCTGAGGTACAGTCCTTGTCTCCCCGTTTGTTACATGCACACGGCTGTTGCTAGGCCTTCATCTGTACAAACCGGACAGACACCTCGGTGGTTACTGAGGGTTTAGGGTTTAATGATTTGCCTTTTGAGAAATGAGCCCTGCCAGTTGCCGAAACTGGGGGAAGAAACACACCAAGGCAGACTTGCAAATCCTCCACCTCAGCAGGGAGGTATCTTCCTACCAAGAGGGAAGTTCGTAATGTCTTCTCTGCACACAGCCACCGCCTTGATAGACAACTTGGCTTTCCCGAGAAAATTGTTTTAAAGTGATACTGTGAATTGTGTTCTGATGGGACTTGTGCGAACATTTAGATGCAAGAAATTCCATGTGCTTAAAGTGCCTGAGCCGTTGGGGGGCTGTAAGGGGCACAGGGAGAGCTAACTAATAACCGGTGGTTAGTTTTAAACTGTTAGTGGAGCAGGGATTTTTTAGCATTTGAGGTATTTAAACCCTGGCAGTGGTGACGCTGGAGTGGGAGGCTGGCTGGTGCCCTGATGTGGCCTGTAACGCAAGTGGCTGTGTGACTCACCCTTAGGAAGGTCGCCAAGACAGGAGTAGGCGATGGGAAAAGTGACATTGGTGCAGCATGACCCACTAAGCCCCAGAGTCAGGCTTCTGTGGGCATCTCTTGACAATGCTCAACCTACCTCTCAGCTAAAACTCTCTGTGCCCTTAGCTTCTGAGTCGGGACACTCAGGTCTAGATCTTTCATGTCCCTGAGCATTTCCTCTCTGTCTTCATGGACTGGTCCCTGTATCCAACCTTTAAATACTGGCATCCCTACTGGTGTATGTTGTCTACCCTCTGATCTTTCCACTGAATAGTCTTCTTGGGGCCTTGAGTATCCTAGACCTGCTACTTAACATGTGGTCTGCTGCACAGCAGTGTTAGAAATGCTAAGTTCCAGGTCCTAGAACCACTGAATTGTTATCTGGATTTCTAGCAAGATTCCCCAGGTGATTTGCAGATCAGTTAAGGTTTAGGAAGCATGTTCTACTGATGTTAGTGCTGCCTGCTACTGGGGCCTCTTAACCTCTCATGTCCAATCCAACCTTCTAGCAAGTTCTCACACATATCATAGCTTCCTTTTGCCTCCAGGCCCATGGACAAGGTCACGCAGCATGCACCACTAACTCTCATCCCTCCTCTCTCTGATGCCCCTTCAGCCTTTTTCTCTCCAGATGGAGCTGCCTCCAGGGCCCTCACTGGCTGTCATCACCTCTTTGTCTTATCTGGAGGCAATTGAGAGATATTTTTTTTTTTTTAGATATTCTTTATCTCCATTGCTCCTCTAATTTTCATTGCGCCTGCTCTAAGCTGGGCTTTCTTCTTGCACTAGTAAAAGAGGTGACTTCCTGTAGACTTCTCAGCATGTGGGGCTTTATCCTTCTACTTCCCATGCTCTCCTGGTAACCGTTCCTAGCCTCTTGTTACCTGACAATACTATTTTTTTTTAAAGATTTATTTATTTATACATATAAGAACTGGGGTACAGGCCAGAGGTGTGGGGGTTGAGAGGATTCACCAGAGACAGAGTGGGGAGCAGAACAGGCAGATCTACTGAAACACACTGCTGAGGGGAGCAGCAGGTGAGATAGGAGAGGTCTGCCGCGCCAGGTGGAGCAGCTCCCTGGCCAGCAGGGGATTGAATTCATGCTGCAGAGGCTGCAGATAGCTTCATTCTTTAGGACGCCACTCCGTGTCCTCCCCAGAAATCTTCCCTGACCCCGGCACTCACCACCAGGAATCCTTTTCTCTGTGTTTCCTTAGCCACCACGTCTCACTGTTCTTGCCAGTGAAAAGGGGTGATAGATGAGTTTTAGGAAATGAATAAGTTAGT